TTTTTCTTTCTTTTTTTTTTTTTTATTTAAATAGATATAAAACTTTCTCTTTTTCCTTTTAAACAGACAGTCTGTACACATCTGGTACCAGTACATATAAAATTACAAGAGTTGTTAAATTAGAAAGGATATGTTCCTTCTGATACGTCATATCAAAAATATGCAGCTTTAGTAAACGTATTCATAGTACTTTTTTCTAAGCTAACTTTACATTGCTACATTACATTTTTCAGAGTTAGAAATATAGCAAAAGTGAGAGAACGCTGCCTCGCACTTTCGTCTCTGAGTCCAAGGGCTTTCCATGCACAATGCAGTGATCTTGAGCACTGAGCAGCAGTGTGACTTTAAAAGCTGTTGTGCGGAGGTAGAAGCCTCGGAGGAAATAGTGTATTTTCCTCAGCAACCGTCCCTGTTCTGCACGTCCACGTTCGCTGTACCAATCTCAGCACCTGCTCGCTGCTTCCTCTCTTTCTCCATATCCTGCCCGAGTCCCTCTCTTCCCGCCTCCCTCGCAGCCTCAGTCGATCTTCTCAACTTTTCCAATGATCTTCTCTTCGAAGATGGGCAGGATGGCATCGTCTTCGCGTACCTCCTCGAACACCACCCCGCAGTCAAATTCGTCGCTCACTTTCTTGAAATAATACCTAACATGTGGTAAGGAAAAGGGATAGGGATGGTATAATAGACCATGTATATCGGACAAGTAATTCCATTCAGTTGACGTTACTGTAAAATTCTTAGCATTGTATACGCATATAATCGCCATTTGATACTGGAAAGAAGTTTAAAGAAATTGTTCATTCAAAAATGAAAAATCTGTCATCATTTGCTTGCCTCATGCTGTTCCAAAGTATGTATGACTTCCTCCATTAAAGGAGCAATTTTGCAGATTTTTCCATGCAATTATAGGAAAAGGTGACAAGCTTTCAAATGCATAGACAAACACAATACAAAAGTGATCATTTCACTAATAGTGTGCGAGTCTTTTGAAGCCCTACAATATTTGTTTTATGTTGTTAAAGTTTAATGTTGTTGAAGTCTAAAGAAATATTACTACAATTTAAAAGAACAGATTTGTATTTTAATATGTATTGAAATGTAATTTATTGTTGTGATGCAAAGCTGAATTTTCAGCCAGTCATTAGTCCATTCTTCAGTGTCATATGATACTTCAGAATCAAATCATTCTAATATGATGATTTGTGGCTCAAGAAACATTATCTAGTTGAAAACAGTTGTGCTGCTTAATATATTTTTGATATTTTTGGTTTTGATAAAGTTCAAAAGAATAGTATTTATAATTTTTATTCAGCATTTATCTTTTATAATATAAATAATCATTTTTAATTCTTTTATTGTGTCCTTGCTGAATAAATTATCATGAGTAAATTATCAAACAACAATGATATTTTGGTCTTTTATCACACAAAGCTATCAAATGACTTCAGAAAACTTGAATAATGGATGACTTGTAAGGGCAAGTTTTATGATATTTTCATACTGATATTGCCTTTTGTGAAGCTTGAAAGTTTCAGTCCAAGACTGATGAGCAGAGTCTTCAGAAAGTCTCTTTTAGTGTGTTTCACAGTAGATCGTTTGTAACATGTAACAATATGAGGGTGAGTAAATGACGACAAGATCTTATTTTTTGGGTGAGCCATCTAAACTAAATGCTACAGACAGTCCTCAAAAACATACTGATGCTAAGAACATGACAAGTGGGAAAGGATTACCTGTAGCTCCCTTTCTTAGTAAGCAGCTCCTTGAACTGTCCCAGTGTGACGATCCTTCCTTTGACGGATGTCCTGTACGGGATGGGCTCTCCACAGAAGTAATAGGCCACAATGATGTTCTCACAGGGCTGCTTCTTCATGTTCTTATGCCTGCAAATGAACCGAGAGGCACTTGAAAAACAAACCAAACATTTGTTCTACAATAACGAACAAAATTATGCATTTTGCTTTACTAGCAACAAACTGAGAAGTACAATGTCCTGAAAGGATGTCTGGACCAGAGCCGTATTTCAAAGGCTCTTGTACGTGCTCTGCTGGGCTTGAAGTGGGCATGAGTGCTGGTGGGTGTCAGAGGATTGGTTTACAGTTACCAAGTAAAACGCATTCCAGATGCCTGACAAATGTTCCTCAGAAAAAACAAACAAAAAAATACTGGCACCGATGTGCTGCTTTCATCTCATCTCATCCACGCCAAAGCTTTGATGTCACTAAACTGCATATCTGCATTAGAAGCAGGCACTCATCCACGGCCTCTCATTCTCCTGCAGCTGATCAGTGATTAATACGCCGGAACAACACTTCACTGCAACCAAATTTGTAAGAAACTACATACTAAAACTGGTAAAACTATACTATATTCTTAAAGGAATAGTTCACCTAAAAATTAATATATGCTGAAAATGTACTCACCCTTAGGCCAGCCAATATTCTTGTTAATCAGAAGAAATTTGGAGAAATTTAGCATTACATCACATGTTCACCAGTCAATCCTCTGCAGTGAACGGGTGCCGTCAGAATAAGAATCCAAAGAGCTGATAAAAACATCACAATAATCCACAAGACTCCAGTCCACCAAATAACAAATTAAGTGAAAAGCTGCGTGTTTCTAAGAAACAAATCCATCATAAAAGGCGTTTTAACTTTGAACCATTGCTTCCAGCCAAAACAGGATTCCATAATCCAGAATACTTCATGAAAGTCTATCCCCCTGTTGTCCTTTTATATCATAAATCACCAACATATTTGTTTAGAACTGTTTTTTAACTGCAAGCGGTGCTTGATCTGTGCATATTTCTCTCCTGATTCAGAGAAGATTACTTTTTCACTGGAGAAAGCAATATTGTGGAGTGAAGACTCATATTTTAGCTGTAACCAACTGTTTTAAGTTAATGCCTTAATGATGAATTTGTTTCTTACAAACATGCAGCTTTTTTAATTGACAAGATGTTAACTGATGGATTGGAGTCATGTGGATTATTGTGATGTTTTTATCAGCTGACTGGACTTTCATTCTGGTGGCACCTATTCACTGCAGAGGATCCACTGGTGAGCAAGTGATGCAATGATAAATTTATCCAAATCTAGAGAGTAAATTTTTATTTTTGGTTGAACTATTCCTTTAACAGTGGAATAGGCTAAACAAGTCTGGATAGCGCTACACAGAAGCGTTAGTGAACTACGTGAAGGCACAGCCCTTACAAACACGTGCGGGTGCATGTATTGGTAGCATGGGATGGTGAAGGGAAGGGCTACGCTCTATGGAGAAGCATGGAGGACATACTCGGCCTCAGAGAGCTCCATGTCAGAGACAGCGGGCACCACACTGAGCGTGGGGAACAGAGCGGGCCTGACAGTGGTGCGACCCCTCTGGATCACCTCCATCACATACCTGAGGAACAACTCAGTTAGACACACTGGCTGCGTTCGAAGGCTCACATCGCCTATTGTACGCATGCACCTAAGCCAGCCACAATGTGTGCGGGAACATGTCGACTAGAAAAAGAGGGGGGGGGGACACAGGCTTGCATTGTGCATTATGGGTCATGGAGGGATTTCTGACAAAGATGATAACTTCCAAGATGAAGTAGGTTGTAATGCAAAGTTTGTAAATGCAATGCGTTTAAAAATGTAATCTTTGCTCATGTTGGTTTCATATGGATTTTCAACAAAACAGTCAATTCAGTGACTCAAATGTCAAGTGGTGGAATCAGTATGTAAAACGTAATAACATTTTCCTTACACCTCAAATACATGCAAGTGTGTCTTAGTCATTTTTAATAAAAAGTTAAAATAAATTTGAAGGTAGAATTTTTTTTTATTTTTTTTTTACAATGAATTATCATACTTTTTGAGGAGTCACAAGACATATCCAGTCTGGACGAACCTTGCCTTGTCGCAAAAAGGTCAAATTATCTGACATTTTAAGTGACTTTCTGGACTTGACCTACAGTCATGAGGCTCTGCAGGGGTCCTTTCTATGATATCATTTCCAGTTCTCAAGTACTTAATTCTTTTAAGACATTTTTATTCAGACATTACCATATTAGAAACGTTTCATTCTGACATTTTCAACATTCTCCCCCAAAAATATCAAAATTATGCTCAATTGAGAAATTCAGGTAACTGTGTATAAAGTGCTTTTTAGTGCATTTTCAAACAGATCTGGCCCAAAGAATAAGTGTCATTGACCAAAAGGCAAATTGCATGAGATTATTGTCATGCAATAACAAATCAAGCCAGCATGTATGACATACGAAATATCATCTTGTGGTGGACATGTCTTCTCACCTCTGCTTAGCTTGCAATGTTCCAGACTTCCTCCTCTCTTCCTCAAGCCGCCTGCGTGCCTCTTCCAGCTGGGTAAGGGGGTTTGGGGCTGGGTTGGGGGGCATGGTTGGATCTTGGATGAAGGGATGGGAAGGTTGCACATTGTTGCGGAGCTGAGCGGTAACCCAAGGGTGCACAGCCCCTGGTCGCTCCACCGAGCTGGGCCTCGACACCTCGTGACCCTGAGCCTTCTTGGAGCCAGAGATGCTCCTATGATAGAAGCGAAACCAAAATTAGCTATCTATCTATCTATCTGCAATGCAAGTGGTGGTTGAGGAGATTCCCCCCTTCTATGTAAAGCGCTTTGAGTGCTATCTATCTGACATAATTCCCAACAAAACTATTTGAATTGCTCAAGGTTAGACACCTTTATTACTATTACTACACCGAGTAAGGGTTCCTACCCGTAAGGGCTCCTCTTATAGCGTCCAGCTTCCTTCTCTCCCTCCATCATCCACTGCAGTATCTTCTGGTTCCTCTCCATATCATCAAGGGGCAAGGGCTCTCGCATCTCAAAGTTTCGACCATCATCTCCTTTTCTGACTGGACGCTTTGACAGTGTGCTTCCTTTACTGCTACAATGAGACATGAGAACATCAAAATCCCAGAAGCTAATGAGACAAATGGCTTCATTAAATGTCTCCAAGTTACACTGCCATTCAAAAGTTTGGTGTCAGTACAATTTCCTTTTTTGAAAAGAAATCAATTTTTATTCCGCAAAGAGTAAAGACGTGTTACAAAAGAATTCTATTTCAAATAATTGCTGTTCTTTTCAACAAAAAGTTTCCAAAAAAATATTAAGTAGCACAACTGTTTTCAACATTGATCATATTAAGAAGAAATGTTTCTTGAGCAGCAAATTAGAATGATTTCTGAAGGATCATGTGACACTATTATATTAAAGGGGTCCTATTATGCTTTAACTTTTTCAGCTTTAGTCTGTAATGTTGCTGTTTGAGTATAAAAAAGATATGCAAAGTTACAAAGCTCAAAGTCCACTTCAAAAGGAGATATTTTATTTAATAGAAATTATATATATATATATATATATATATATAAAAAAAAGATATCGAGGCGCATACCCATAACCCATTGGGTCCATGGCATTGGGGCCGACACTCATTCCATCTGCAAAGTTGCGTGTCTTGGATCCATAGTGGTGTTGCTCCATGTTCCAGGCGAACCCTCCGTGCATCCTCGTGGCTTCCACCTCCACCTGCTCTTTGGGTTTCCCCCCAGCGGCATAGTGTGTGTGGTGAACGTGTTTGTGATGGTGCATGTGCGCTGCCTCACCCTTTGGGCCTAGCCGAGCCTGGTGCTTGCCTTGGCCACCAGAGAGCGGCATCATCACCCCGGGAATCTTGCCCGCGGGAAGCCCGTCAGGGGAGCGGGACTTCGGAGAGTGGCGGCCCGTGCCCGGAGATTGACAGCCGGGGGTTTTCATGACACGCTGCACATGCTCGTCCAGGATGCTCTCGGGGTTTTCCTCGTGTGCGTCCCGTAGCTGCAGCCCGTTGTAGCTCATTTCAGAGTAGCGACCGCCATAATGCTGCACATGGAGTACGACAGCCTGTTCTAGTACACCCCCAAAACAAAATCAAGACTTTGTAAAAGAGCATAATAAGACCCCTTTAAAATACAAAACAGTTATTTTAAATTGTAATGATATTTCCTAATATTAGTGTTTTTACTTTTTCAAAAACATTTTAAAAAATCCTATTGACTCCACACTTTTGAACAGTAGTGTACATATCTATCTAGTTGCTCCATGTTCCAGGCGAACCCTCCGTGCATCCTCGTGGCTTCCACCTCCACCTGCTCTTTGGGTTTCCCCCCAGCGGCATAGTGTGTGTGGTGAACGTGTTTGTGATGGTGCATGTGCGCTGCCTCACCCTTTGGGCCTAGCCGAGCCTGGTGCTTGCCTTGGCCACCAGAGAGCGGCATCATCACCCCGGGAATCTTGCCCGCGGGAAGCCCGTCAGGGGAGCGGGACTTCGGAGAGTGGCGGCCCGTGCCCGGAGATTGACAGCCGGGGGTTTTCATGACACGCTGCACATGCTCGTCCAGGATGCTCTCGGGGTTTTCCTCGTGTGCGTCCCGTAGCTGCAGCCCGTTGTAGCTCATTTCAGAGTAGCGACCGCCATAATGCTGCACATGGACTGCAGGAGCAACCCTGTGATTGGCCAGGGAGGGAGCGGTTGAGATGTCTGCATCATCACCTTCCTCTTCCTACAGGACACAAGAGATTATTGAATAATGACAAGATACTTAAAAAAATAAAAAAATAAAAAAAATAAAAATAAATAAATAAAAAAAAACAACTCAACATTGAACTGCATCTGAAACCATCTTATTCAATAAAGAAAAAACATTTTCTAATGAGTGACTGAATAAGTCAAATTTGACCGGGGAAGAAAGTCTACTGTAGAAAACAATGGGATGTAGAATCACTGTGCAGTAACATGTTTAAACCAGCAGAGGTCATACGTTTATAGGTTTCCAAAGATTCTATTGATATGCCTTTGTTATGGTCACACTGAAAACACATAATGGCCTGAAACAGCCATGAGAAAATTCTCTTGTTGCTCAAAACATGAATTTAATATTCATTTTAATAATGAAAGCCCTTCTCGACAAGCAGACCTCTCTCTAGATTATAAATGATCTGACATGCCTGTTCTCTTAAGATTTTAGATTTTACTTGCTAATTTGTTGTGCCATTCTCTGATTTTGATTTTACTGGCAAAAAACACTGAGTTCTTTGACAAATTTAGTTTCAGTCTGGTGACTAAACTGCATTTTAGTCACATTCTGTATTGTTACTAGCAGACAATGATAAAGCATAGTTTTGTCTATGAAAGCAGTCATGACCTAAATCTAATTAAACTAGCTGCGTTCCCACCATATCTTTATTCTGAATAACATTTAGCATATTATAGATTCAGGTTGTTTCACTCTAGGTTGGGGCATTTGCAGAAGATTTCCCCACAAAAATTAATCATTTTATGTGAATGTTCCACTGTTTCAATCAATACCATTTTTAAGGAATGGTTTCAAATTATTATATTTAGTTAGTTGTAATGAAGTGTCATTGCTGCTTGCATTATGTTGATGTTGGCTAAACTATGAACAGTGTTTCGTAAACTGCCTCTGTGTATTATCTTTGCTGCTAGTTACTAAAATTATTTTATATGAACAGTTCTCGTGATCAGTCGACATGTCATACGTGTTCCACTTGACCGCTGAATTGCCAGCTCACTATATACACTACCGTTCAAAAGTGTTTTTTTTTTAAATAAATTATTACTTTTATTCAGCAACAAAGCATTAAATTAATCAAAATTGACAAGAAAAAGAGATTTATATTGTTACAAAGATTTCTATTTCGAATAAATGTTGTTCTTGTCAACTTTCTATTAAAAAAAAAAGTATCAAGGTATCCAAATTTCATAAAATATTAGTATTTAATAATAAATATAATAAGCAGCACAACTGTTTTCAATATTGATAAGAATTTATTGATAATGTTTCTAAATAGAAAACAATTACTTTAAATTGTAATAATATTTCAGAATATTATTTATCAAATAGATGCCGCCTTGGTGAGGATGAGACCTCTTCAAAAAAAAAAAAAAAAAAACCTTAAACCCAAAAACATGTGAACGGTAGTAACAGTATATATATATTATTTTATTCTCTGTTAACAATGCAGTCACATTTTTCATTTATTTCCATCCAAATTCCTTTTTCATCAAATGTGCCTTTTAATTTGGTCGTCTTCTCGTTTTCATAATAGAGAAAGTCAATAAAGCTGAAACCACAGCAGGTCATTTGTGTGCAATGCTTTGATTCTCTTTCAAATTTTGAGGATTTGGCTCATGCACAATTTTATTTTTACTGAACAGCTGTGCGGGTCAGCGCTCTGGATGATCTTTAACAGATCATGCCAAAAAAAAAAAAAAAGAGACGAGGTGGGAGACAACACAAATCCAACCGCAATGCGCAAAGCAGCCAATTTTCATTGCGTCTACTTGACCTATAAAAAAACTGAATTCTGTCGGAAAATGACTGAATAACACCCAGAATGGTGATATCAGAGTTTATTCAGACTTGTCGAGGTTCAGTTGCTGGCAAAAACATGTTTAACTGTCAGAGTCCATCCTGCTCAGTGGAACAAAGAGAGCAAGTGCTGTATATAGAAGATGGTTTCTCAGCTGATAGGTACAGAAAACTTAAAACAAGTTTGCTGAAAGCTGAGGCACCAGTGAGAATATCAATTAGGACACAAATGCCATTCCTCCTTCGGCTCTTAATAACTCAAAGTCACTGTTCTGTGACAGAAGTTCCTCTTACAGGAGGCCAAACTACATAAATAATCTTCCTTGAGACTTAACACCTGGCTTTGAGTCGGGAAAAAGATTCCCATTTGCAGTGTGCGCAAGCATTTCTTCACGCCCCGGCTGACTTCAAACAAAGCCATTACACTGAAGCAGACTAGCAAGTAGCTCAATCTCGGTAGGTGATTCACCTGACACTGAACAGAAAGACGAAAGAAATGAGCGGAGCCCCCTTGATAAGACAGGAAGTCTTTAGAACACATCCGACTGTCTCGCTCATGAACAGAAGTGGCAGAGACATCAGTGTTTGATAAAAGGGGAGACAAAAAAAAACCTACTATAGCTCAAAATACGGCAGTGACGTTACGATTCAGATGCACTCACCAGTCGAACCCTCTTGAGCCGCTCTTCCAGTTTTTCTTGCGCCTCACGTTCCCTCAGCACCCCCTCCAGCCTGCTGATGAGCTCCGCTGCAAACTTCTCTGGCTCAACGTGAATATCCTTTGGCATCCGGTTTGTGCGCTGATGGGAAGACAATGCGAGTCAATACTCAAGGTCACTATTCACAATTAATGTGATGCGCTTATAAAAAAAGAAGCTACAACGACAGCTGCTGATTACACAGGCATGTACAGGGAACAATAATACATGACAGTTTAAAACACAATAGTGAACGCAAAAGAACATTAATACAGGCTAGGCAGACAAATATTTGACTAGATGAGAATGAATGCAATGCTTCTGTACACAGACTTCAGTAATCAGTTTCAGTTTGAAATAGTGATGCACAATTTTTTTACAGAGAAAAAAAAATGTAAACCGAAATTTTCATTTAGCCGAAGCCAAAAATAAAGTTTATTAATAAATTATTTAAATCACATTTAATGATGAACACTGAAATAAAAACTTATACTGCATGTTTTTAGGCAAATTGCATGTTTTTTTCTATCAGCTTTTTTAATGATATAATGATGTTTCTAATTTAACTAGTTGAAATATAAACATTTAAACAGCAGCTGTAATAAATCGTCAATCACTTGATGTTACTTTGGTCAAACACAGTTCCACCAAATAAGTTAAACTGTTGGCATCCATGTTCTAGTTTACAGCTGTGAGAATTCTAAATATGGCTATAGTTCACCATGTCAATCATCATAATGTTGCATTATTGCAACTCCTGTATTCTGTACACACATGAAACGGTAACACAGATCAAGGAATTTACTCCTACATTTCAATGTGGTTGTCATAGAGAAAGTAGTTATGAAACATTATCCCTTTGACATGTAAAATCAAACCGGCGTGATTGGAACATTTAATTACGTAATCAAACTGCATCTGCTTTTGCACTATTGTTTCACGTTGCGCTGTTGCTGCTGACTCAGAATGAGGGACTGGCTAAGCAGTTATTATTTGTTATTTGAACGTCTGAAAAGGCTTAAATCAAATGTGTTTATTTTGTAACAGACATAAAAAATAATCAAATTAGTTGGATAACATTTACAGATCGCAAGATGTAATTTAGATGTGATCACCCTAAATAAAAAAAAATACCTACATTTATATTATATGTTGTAGTACAACAACAACAAGGACCTAATGAAATGCACTAATATAGGTAAAGGAGAGAAACAATTTTTTTTTTTAAAGACACTAATGTTCAAAAGTTTTTTTTTTTTACGTTTCTGAAAGTGTCTTATGCTCATCAAGGCTCATATATTTGATTAAAAATACTGTAAAAACAGTAATACTGTGAATCATTATTACAATTTTAAAAAATTATCTTCTATTTTAATGTGTTAAAATTAGGGTTGGGTATCAAAAACCTAAAAGTCTTATTCGATAAGACTTTTATAGACGATAAGACGATAAGCAGAATTTCGATTCTGCTTAACAATTCCTGCGTTCGCATTTTAATGTGATTAAAAACGATTTAAGTGCAGGAACGGAAAGAACTTGCGCCCTGTTTGCGTGCAGCGCACACGAAGCGCAAGCGCGAGCACAGAGAACAGAGGTCGCGGTACGGGTTCCCGGTTTGTGTCCGTTCTCGAACCGTTCCGTGTATTTCCCCTTTAGAAAAAGTTGTTCCGGGCTGAAACTGACTTCTTACATATTTGTCGACCAATATGCAGAAAACTACGTCAGTATATCATCATAAACACAGCCGTTTTTGCCTTACGTGAACGTAAACAGACGAGAAAGAAAACACACAGGTACAGTATTTTTAGATCTGCGTGCGTTCGGTGTTAAAGAGACAGCAGCCTAATAAACGCGCTGCCTGTCATTAATATTAATCAAAGAACAAAAATAAATAATTCACTGATCTTGACTGAATATATTTAATAACATTAATTGATTCATCTATATTTTATTTAGAAAAGAAAACTATGCAGTGTTTTTAAATTTTAATTACAGTTTCTGTACCTGAAATTTTGTTCAGTTGTATTTATGATATTGCTAATTGATTTGTTTGTTCCTATCTTATTACTGACTGTTTACTTGTCTTTAACACTTTAATATTTGAAATGTATATAAATCTAGTTGTTTCTGCTGTGGAATTTTTTTTTTTAAGCGTAGGCAAAATTCCTCTTGCAGTGTTCTGCAGGCTGCTGATTTTTGCCCGTGTTATTCAGCTGCAACAGAATGCTTTGTAAAAAGACAGAATAAATGTCTAAATGTTTAAATCAAAATGTTTGACTTAATTTTTTTTATATTGGATTTTTTTTATCTTATTGGGATCGAAACTAGGAATCGATAAGAATCGGAATCGATAAAATTCAAACGATACCCAACCCTAGTTAAAATGCAATTTATTCCTGGATAAACTACACTCATACACACTGTCTCCCTCTAGTGTACCGTCAGTGACAGCACAATGATTCATGATCCTAACAGAACTTTTTAAAAAAAAAAAAAAAAAAAAAAAAGACACAATCCACCTTCACACATTGAGCTTGCAGCATGTACCCAAACCTTAAAACGAAGAGCTGAATATCAGATAATCACTCTTTATCTGAGCAGATTAGGTGGCACAGGTGAAAGGTGCATATACATTTTATTATGCTATTTTTTGCTCTCAAGCCACCAGGACTCTAAACAACTTAAGTTCAGGAAATGTATTATTCCAGAAGTCTGGAAGGAGAAAAGAGACGGGGGAGGAGGACAGACACATGAAGAAATAAAGTTGCAGGTAGTGCCTGGACAAGGTCCAATAAAACCTTACAGGAGCCGTTAAAATTTTGATTACAGGGCCAAATCTGATCTAAAGTCTGTTTCAGCTCTCTTTGTTCTGGCCTTCTGTTTGCTTAAGATTCATCAGTCTCCTCCGCAGCCCACACGGTTATATGCCCAGTGGAACTGCAGAATCTGTCAAGTCTTGACAAGGCGTTTTGGTTACTAACACTGCCTCCCTGCCGCAGACCACGTTTACAGAATATAAGAAGGCCTTTTAAACTTAACAGAGACAGAACGCACGAATGCAACCAAATGGAAAAAAAACATCACAGCGAGAGCGTTAAAGCTTTAGAACCATAAAAATAATGTGAACAATGTACAAGATAAAACCTGAGCAAAGTGGAGTAATAACAATTAAAAGTCAACAGTTCATCAGAAAATAAAGATTCTTCACTCACTTAGTTCATATTGTTCCAAACCCCATACAATGTTCTTTCTTCAGTTAAACAAAAAAGCAGCCATTAGGGAAAATCTGCTTTTTTATATATACAAAAAAAAAAAAAAAAAAAAAAAAAAAAAAAAAAAAAGACTAAAAGCTCCTAAATAGTCAAATGATATCTTCGTGCGAGGAACAGGCCAAGATGTGTCATTATTCACTCTCAAATATGTGTGGTTTGAATATAAACTACCATTCAGAGGTTTAGGGTTTCTATTCATAAAAGAACCTTGAAATAATATGTATAGTTTCTACAAAAATATTAAGCAGCACAACTGTTTTCAATAACATTTTGAATGATGTTTCTTCAGCACCAAATCAGCATATTAAACTGTAATGACTGCTGAAAATAAAATTCATATTAATATTTTGAAATATTACCGTTTTTACTGTATTTCAGATCAAATAAATGCAGCCTTGGTGAGCCTAAGAGATTTGACAGACCCCACTTTTTGTATGGAAATTGAGGTTTAGAGAGATCAGAAATCAAAAAATGTCATCTGGCATTACTGATGTGCCATGTTTAGATGTGGCATAATTGGTGAACTATCGCTTTAAAGGGGTCATATAATGCGATTTCAAGTTTTCCTTTCTTTTTTGAGTGTTACAAGCTGTTCGTGAATAGGTAAGATCCCTAAAGTTGCAAATACTAAAGTCTCAAACCCAAAGAGACATTCTTTATAAAAGTTAAGAGTCGTCCACGCCTACCTAAAACGCCTCGTTTAAACACGCATGGTACGTATGGTAAGGGGCGTAACATTTCTGTCACACGCTTGAGGTATTCGGCCAATCACAACGCACTGGATAGCTGGCCAATCAGAGCACACCTCGCTTTTCAGACCGATGAGCTTTGTAAAAATCGACGCGTTTCAGAAAAGCGGGGCATAGATGAGAAACAATAATGTACATTACGTGGAAAATAATGTGTTTTTTGAACCTTAAACCGCATAAACACTTCATTATACCAAATACACAACATAATGTTATTTTTTAGCAACGTCATATGACCCCTTTAAGAAGGTTTGTACATCTGCAACTTGTCATTCGATAATCAGATATTGGTGTGCACGCTGAAAAAAAAAAAACGTTAAAGAGTCTCCAGTGCGTCACACGTGCATTCGAGCTGAAGTGTCTTCGCTGCCTCCACAGCTTTCAGTCTCTATAGGATGAGTGAAAGGCCCTAGTGAGGGGAAGTGTATGTTTGCTCTGTTAAATTGGGCTCTATCTCAGAGGCTCCAATTATGCTGGAGCCGGTGCAGTGATAAAGCCGAGCCATCAGAGGGGGAGGCTTCACATCTGCTGGGGCAGAGCAGGCAGAGCTGACGAGAGCATCAGGAACGCTTTAGACAGCACACTCACGCTCTCTCACTCTCCATCAGCTATTCGCCAGCACATGATCAAAGCTCCCCAGCCACCACTGTGCATCTTAAGAATGCACATTCATTTTAGGGGCGATGGGAGAGACAAGGCAGAGGGAAGAAAAGAGAGAGTAAGAATGACAGGGAAAGACCAGATGATGATGGACAGAGACAAGGCACAGAAAATAAAATAAAAAGAAGGAGTGGGGTGAAGAGAAAGGGAGAGAGGAGTGATGGAAAGAAAGGTAGAGATGCACACACAAAAAAAGTGTTGTAAAGTCAACAAGGTGTTCTACAAACCCAAAGCATACTTACAGGAATATGAGGTAGAGGCACTCGCCCATTAACTTTGGCACTTTCGTGTATCTCATGTCGATGCGGCTTACGATATCTGTAAGGTGGGACTCCATCTCTGTAGGGACAAGCATAACAAGATTTTAGTTCTCAATCTGTGCCAATATATAAAAACACAGTAAATGAAGTCATTATCTTCATATACCTTGTATAAAAAAAATTTCGGTCATCATTTACACACCTGTATGTCTTTCTTTCATCCATGGAACACAAAAGGATATATTCAGCAGAATGTCTAAGCCAGTGTTGTTACTATTAACTTATTAAGTATCGTTTTTGTTAACTGAAAGCTGATAAAAAAATTAGAAGAAAAGTTATTAGCAAGTACTAAAATTGCTAATATTAAAAATAATATTAATACTAATAATATCAATAATAAATAAAACAGTAACACTTTACAATAAGGTACCATGAGTTTGAGTTAATTCATGAGCTATACAATTAAAACAGCATTTATTAATCACTATTAGCATTAGTTAAAAATGAAAAACTGTTCATTGTTAGTTCATATTAGCTCCTGTCCATTAAGTAAGGGATAATGTACATCCAGCCGGTTGTTAACCCTGAAGGGGGTTATTCTGCGATAACAACCGGCTGGATGTACATTACACGGCTAATTGCCACATAAGTAAATAATTAGACAAAATATTGATTGGAGTTGAAATATTTGAACGCAAAGCTTCCGTGAACACGGCAGTTGCGAGCAAGCGGCAAGTTCAAACTAGATGGACATTTAAGGGATACGGTGCAGTCAAACCACTTATTACACAACATTACACCACATAAATAATTATGTGGCGATAAAAGATTTAAAGCGGTCATATGATGCGATTTCAAGTTTTCCTTTCTCTTTGGAGTGTTACAACCTGTTTGTGAATAGATAAGATCCCTAAAGTTGCAAAGACTAAAGTCTCAAACCCAAAGAGATATTCTTTATAAAAGTTAAGACTCGTCCACGCCCTCCTAAAACGCCTCGTTTAAACACGTCCCCACATGTCTACGTCACGATGTGGGAAGATTTGCATAACACCGCCCAAATGTTCACAAAAAGAAAAAGGCGTAACTTTTATTCTCGCTGTAGTATTGTTGCCGCCGCCGCCATGTCGTGGAGACGCTGTGTTTCGTTGTGAAAACTAAACTACTTTGTTTGGCCTTCTAAAAGAGGACACAACTAGAAATCAGTGGTTAAGTTGTATTTACAATAGGGCTGTCCAAAAAAAATCGAATTTCGAATATTCGTCGAATTAAAAATAAAAAAATCCACATTCGAATGCAAAAACGTTGCATTCTAATTTTAGGTCTGCGTCAGCCGTCAGGCAGCCTATCAGTGGCGCACGAAATGCGACGACGATGAAAGTGTCATTGTATTTTAATGCTTTTGTTAGCCTATCCAGTTGAACCCACTAGATGCGGCGCTGCTACGTTGTGGTTCATTCAGTATATTGCGGAAAACGAGAGCATCAGTGTGGAGAAGATGTTGTTTACGTCAAAACTGAAACCAAGCCGTTCACACAGAACGCATATTTATCACATTTTCTAGAGGGACATCTATCAGTGCTGCACTCGCGTCTGGCACAAGAGAGCAGCATGTTTAGAAAGCCGTGTAAAATTAATGTAAGTTCAACTTTTAAAAACATGTCTCGAGACTTCATGGCGGTTTTTCCCCATCCCACTGCATCTCATGTTTTTAAGTGAAAAAAAGTACTCTTTGTGATTGGTTTTCGGTCATTTGTATTAAACTATACATACATACATGATGCGGTTTTGTTTCTAATTGTTTAAGCAACTTAATTAATTATATATGGTTTATTAAACACAATTTTAAACATTATGCACTTTTTTCAAAGATAGTCGTGTTATTTTATTGCTTTGAAGAAATGTGCATTAGTAATATTTTGCTCGATGCGCCCTCTTGTGGCCTCAGGAGAGAAGCCAAAAGCTTTTT